AAAAAGAAAAACAAAAAGTGTTGCTATGGACTGTCAGTAGAAGGTAGTTATTTGCTAAGCGAAAATTAATTATTATGTAAAGTCTGTTAATCTTGAGCACAATCATCCTTTAGATATTGCTGCAGTTATATTTGATCCTGGTCACTGTAAATTAAGTAATAATGAAAATATGCATGTACAAATGCTTTACAATGGGGATGTACTAGTGCCAACTATTGTCAATATATTAACCAAAGAATATAATAGATATATACATAATAAGGATGTATACAATACACTAAATTATCAATTTCAGGATTATATAAAAGGTTTATCACAAACTGCAGAATTATTAAGCAACTTAAACAACAATAATGAGTATTTGTTTATCTATTCAGTTAAAAATAGCAAACTTCATTGTCTATTTTTTATTACTTATTCTGCGGTTGCAAAATTTAAACAATACCCTGAAGTTTTATTAGAAGATTTAACATATAAAACGAACTATTTTGAAATGCCTTTTTGCTTATAAATGGTGTTGATGCAATGGGTATTACTTTTCTTGTAGCAAGTGAACTTCTTGCTAATGAAACCATACCAAGCTTTTGTTAGATAATTCAACAATTAAAGCAATTTGTTGGTGATACAACTTTTCATAATATACGAACACTTTTAACTAACAGAGAACTTGTATTTATTGTCGCAATTTGAACTGAAGCACCACATATCAAACATTAGTTATGCATTTGGCATATTAACCAAAATCTTATTACAAACTTAAATAACAAACTTAAGGACAAGTTTATTTTATTTATTAAAGATTTTCAAGTACTAATGTTTGAAGATATTGAACAAAAATTTGATATTTTATAGAATTGTTTGCTAGTTGAATATCCAGAAGCGAGTAGTTATATGATAGAACAGTGGAAGCCTTCACTTATATATGAGCATGTTGTCACACCAATAAAAATATTAATTATGAAATATGAACGACACAGCGATCAAAGTCTAGTAATACACATTTGAAACGTTTATTGGGTCATACAGCACCTTTACCCGAATTAATCAATGCACTAGAAAAGTTAAGCCGTCATCAATTACAAAATTCTCAATATCAACAATATCGGTTACGTGGAAGCATTCGCTAGCAATGTTCTGAATTATTAAAAAATATTTCAAGGGTTGTCTCAGATTTTGTGTATTCTTTATTATTAGAACAGTATAATTTGGCTGCCTCTTATAATGTTGAAAAACAAGAATTAATTTGTTTGAAGTTTATCATAATGAAGATTATAAACACACAATATATCAGACTGATACTGAGTATACTTGTTGCTGTAATTATAATGTACAATTCCATCTACCATATTATCATGTTCTTGCTGTTTATATTGTTAATAAGAAGATCGTAGATGTTAAATGTATTAGTAATCGTTGAATCATCATATCAGCAGGATTCAATCTTAATATGTCTCAATATGAAGAGTATAATTCTACTATTACAGAATCTACAACTGAGTCTTCATATTTCACCAATAATAGTAATGAATTCTTAACTGATTTGTCACCTGTCACTCACAGTATTTGTAATATATCTATCAATTAACAAATTCATACTAAAAGTACTGAAGATCTACTTAAAGATATTGAATCAATCTCTAATAGGATGGAACATATTAAAATTAACAGTACTTTAGCTTGTTTTGTGGAACTTTACCCGAATTAATCAATGCACTAGAAAAGTTAAGCCGTCATCAATTACAAAATTCTCAATATCAACAATATCGGTTACGTGGAAGCATTCGCTAGCAATGTTCTGAATTATTAAAAAATATTTCAAGGGTTGTCTCAGATTTTGTGTATTCTTTATTATTAGAACAGTATAATTTGGCTGCCTCTTATAATGTTGAAAAACAAGAATTAATTTGTTTGAAGTTTATCATAATGAAGATTATAAACACACAATATATCAGACTGATACTGAGTATACTTGTTGCTGTAATTATAATGTACAATTCCATCTACCATATTATCATGTTCTTGCTGTTTATATTGTTAATAAGAAGATCGTAGATGTTAAATGTATTAGTAATCGTTGAATCATCATATCAGCAGGATTCAATCTTAATATGTCTCAATATGAAGAGTATAATTCTACTATTACAGAATCTACAACTGAGTCTTCATATTTCACCAATAATAGTAATGAATTCTTAACTGATTTGTCACCTGTCACTCACAGTATTTGTAATATATCTATCAATTAACAAATTCATACTAAAAGTACTGAAGATCTACTTAAAGATATTGAATCAATCTCTAATAGGATGGAACATATTAAAATTAACAGTACTTTAGCTTGTTTTGTGGAATATTTAAATAGTGAATTTTCTTTATTGCAAGAAGATATTAAAGATCCTATTGTCGTGAAGACAAAGGAGAGACCAAGTGGTACTAAATGTAAGAAAACAGGTGCTGAGCATGCAATTAAAAAAGTATATATATGTGGTATTTGTAGCAATAGTAGGCACAACTCTCAAAGTTGTCCAAGCAAGTAACTTAGTACAACTTATTTCTAGTTCAATTTTTTTTTTTTTTTATGATATCAAATGATTTTATTTTAAATTGTTTTGTTTTAATGCAAATATGATATCTTGTTTAACATATTAAGTTAGTTATTATGCGAATAAGTTTAAATGTATTTTAAGTTAGATTTGCAATTATTAAGTTCTTTAAAATAAGTAAAACAATATAATATTACATTAAAACAAAATAAAAGTATTCAAAGATTTAAATCACTGAAGTTTCTAATTTGAGTTTTCTATAAGGATTATATAGCATAACAATAAAATTGCAAATAATCTTTTACAGAAAGTTTAGTTGAATTTTATATTAGGCCCTTTGATAGCTTGGGTTTTAATAAACTCATCTAGTAAATTCAATTCTATTTCGCTTTTATCAAAATATTATAGAATATATTTTTCATTCAAATTTTTAATTATAGATTATTTCTAACAGAAATTTGTATAGTTAGCTAGTATAAATTAATTGCCTATTAATTAATTTATATATTTAGAGTATTTTGTTTAAGAACTTAATATTTCTCTAATCAAAACTCATACTGAATTTTATTTATAATTTTAACAAAGTATTAATATATGATGTATGAAAAAATCTAAATTCTCAGAAAATTTTATTTAGAAAATAAGTCTGTTGGATTATATCAAATACATATTATAATGATAGATAATTAGCTGACTAAAGTAAGAAACCAGAATGTTTTTGCTAAAAGTATTTTATTAGATTGTGTTTAAATGAATTAATTGTTTAATTTAGGTAAAGTAAGTATATTTGACTCTTTTGGTATCTTATAATATATACATATATGAAATATTTCTTTAAACTTAATATGTTAAAGCATAATTTCGTCCGAGGTAATAATTTTTTCTAAAAAACAAACCCAAAGAAAAAACCGCAAATTTTATAAAATTTACAGGCTTTTCCTTTGCGGTACTCATCTACTATATAAAAGATATGAATCATTACTTAAATTTGAGGTTTTATATCGTTTGGATTAGATGTTTGTAAATACTGCAGTACTATGTAGTGTTCAAATTATGATACCACATTTTTTATATACTACATATATCTACATATCTGTTTTTTAATTACTATATAACCTCTTTTCTATAATAATCTGAAGCTAAAAAGAAAATAAAGTTAATAATGTTTTCTTTATCTTTTTTAGAATAACTATCGTTGGATTTTGTAACATAAGTTTAATTTATATTCAATCAATAGTTATATAGTATATAGTTTACGTGACTACTGTAGTACAAATAGAGATCACATAACTTAGCTGATTAAATGTTTCTGGCAGCATTTTTGGGCCACCACTATCAAATATCATATGATGGGTTAAAACTAGAAACTGGAAACTAGTATAAGTCTGGAGCCCATAATAGCATTCACCCTAACTCTTGAAAAATCTGATCATGTATATCACAGATCAAATTTTTAGGATATTACAAACAGAAAATGCTGAAACTATGTTTTTGATATTATTATTATAGATGCATCAAAATCATAATTTCAGTCATCAAAGCGCATAAATATTTAAGTTCTTCACTTTGCTCTGGACAATAACTCAGATGAAAATAGAAATGCCCTTTAAAAATATATACTTTTAAATAATATGTGCTTATATAGAATGTGATTATAGAGAGATTTGACTGTACTTATTAATTAAACCTATATAATTTAATTTAATTTTAAAAATATTTATAGTATTTAGATTTTTTACTCTATTTTATTTATAAGAATGCAAATTATAAAATAAATATATTTATAATAAATATTTGATTTTGTAAAATTAATACCTTTTTTATAAAATTTATTTACTGTATATAAATATAGTTATAATTTTTTGATATATTAATATATTTTTAAGTTATATCTAATTGATATTAAAATCAATTACAATACTAATATATGTTTACATTTATAATTAGTTTAGAATTAGAGTTAATATTAGTATAATTTTAAAAACTTGTTAGTAAAATAATATAGATCTAAATATTTTTTAAAAATTATTATATTAAATAATATATTAATTTAAAATAAATATTTATAGAGAACCGGTATTTCCACACCCAATTTTGGTATTTCCATATCCTTTAATCACATGTAAATTATATTGTCTATAAATATGTTGATCAAATACCAAATTGATAGTACTTACATATGTACGTACGTAGATCGACTTTTATTAGCAGTTAGTGTTACGAACTTAAAACTTTAATACATTCGAACTACTATTTGCGACGATTTTATTAAATAAACAAAAGAAGTGTTTAATTATAAAATAAGACAGGTAACAACAAACATTATGAGTATTACTTTCTACTTATTAGATAACTGTCTTATTACTGACTGTTGTATTAAAAAATAAAAGCTACCGTTCCTTGAAAGCTAGCAAGTTTGCAATACACTTTTTAGGTCTACAATTTTATTCATGATAGGGTTATTAGATTACTAAGAACGATGGCTAGGAGCTTAACTTTTATTGTTTATTATATAAGAATACTGTTGACAAATATATAGCTGAAATTAAACAAAGTATTACTTCAATATTGACTTTAATCGAATTAAACTATCTAAAATTAAAACTTTGATTAATATGACGATAGTGTATTTATAATACAGTAACTATGAGGTTCAGAAGTTGTCACTTAACTTCAAATAATACATATGACTATACTTGAAAT